ACTGGTTTGTGAGTTTGCTCCCCTGATGGTCGTGGTCTATATATGTCGTTAAAGTTATCACTCATCGCGATCATCCTGCTCGTCGCGAGACTCGGCTAAGCGTTCTCGTTTTTTTTAGCAAGATATTTGGGAGCGAGCTCGCAACCGTTTTTGTTTTACGTTTAATATTCTACTACCTTTAAAGAAGCTGTGCAACAATATTAACGTTGAAAGAAATCGCAGACTGTAATTTTTTTCCTATGTGCCTTGCCCTAAGTGACAGAGAACACCCAACCTTCCTCGGAAATGTTGCGATTTCACTAAGTAATTGGACATTTTAAAACTTTTTTTACCGGCCTGCAGCCGCACAGCGGTGGTCGTCGGAACCACAGGGCGCGCTCGGCGTGACGTGGACGTGCCGTGAGCGTGACGTTAAACGGAGAACGTGTAAAACATGGGCAAGTTGCGCAATTATCTGCTAAACATAAGGCGTATTTTAAGAAATCTGGTCGTATTGACATAAACAAATGTATCAAAAGTATCCTACTATTACGATATAATATTATTAATAGTTTTAAGGGTGGCGATGTGGGTTAGTTGGTTCATACTGACGAAAAGGCAAACAGCGCACAGTAAACGGGGACTAAAGGAAGTGCAAACAGGACAAGCGCTGACTCTCAACTGAAATTTAGTCACATGAAAACAAAACAAAGAAAACAGCAACACCGCCCATGTCACATGATACATTCACCACGTGTCCAAAAAAAAACATTTCTTTACTATTCAAGCCCAGTGACCTTTGGCTTACGCAGTTCGCGCCTGCTTTTATAATTGCATGCGCCTCTAAAATTTCTCGATTCTCGGACAGAGTGAATCAAGAAATTTTAGAGGCGCATGCAATTATAAAAGCAGGCGCGAACTGCGTAAGCCAAAGGTCACTGGGCTTGAATAGTAAAGAAATGTTTTTTTTGGACACGTGGTGAATGTATCATGTGACATGGGCGGTGTTGCTGTTTTCTTTGTTTTGTTTTCATGTGACTAAATTTCAGTTGAGAGTCAGCGCTTGTAATGTTTACACTTCCTTTAGTCCCCGTTTGCTGTGCGCTGTTTGACTTTTCGTTGATAGTTTTAGTGGCGCCATTTGTCAGAGGTCAACAAAATCATTTCTGCTCTGTGGCGTTGCTCACTGACCCATAGTCCCGTATATGAAGAATAGAAGGGTAGGAGGGGGCATGACGTCAGCCTCCATAAGCCATGCTCCCTTGAAGCTTCGCCTCTTTCTCACTTTCCTCCTTACTCTTCTCACGTATCCGCCCAAAAATAACCACATCACGTGACCGTAGCTAGCCTTCGTCTAGCCTTCGATCTGATAAAACCTACCGGACGGAGCGCGCGCAAGCCTGCAAGGAATCCTCCTACAATCAACCATCCATCTCGCACGTGACATGTCACGCGCACCAATCGCCGCCAGAGAGATCTGCCACGGCCACTCGATCCCCCCTGTTGGTGCGGCCTGCCGATGTCTTCCGAAAACAAGAGAGCGCGCGTGAGAGGAGAACTTCTCCATTTTCCGTGGGGGCGCTGCACATCTGTGAGCGGTAGAGTGCCTTCATACACACGCGCGCTTTTGCTTGAGTGGTGACATCTCAGCCATTTTTCCGCCCAATCGTTTTTTATGCATCTTGAAGTGCGCGCAATCTGGTGGCACTCAGCTCGAGCGCGTAGCTTTGGCCAATGCATAGCCGCCATTTTACCGCCCAAGTCACGCACCAAGTGCGCGAGAACGTCACGCGCCGGAACATTCAGGGCAACAATGGATGTCTTCACCCTGAGACCGACAGACATGTAGGCACCCTAGTGAGCGGTCTTGTGAGCTGAAAGCTATACTGTTTCACCTTATGTTGTACCGCAGGAAAGGCTGTAAGCGCGAGCTACTTGCTCTGGGGCAGATCTCGGCGGCACAAGCTCTCGTGCAGTAAGGGCAGCTGTCAACGCTATGAGCTCGCGCTTCCAGCCTTCGCTGCGGTACAACATAAGGTGAAACGGAGTATAGAGAAGACGCCCAACCTCTTGCTCCGCTACCCAGATAAAACGGGGTTTTCGTAGATCGCTCTCGCCGTCCCGCAAGGCCCTCCGCAACCCGCTACGATAGCGGGAACTCCACAGTGAAGGCTATCGGCGCGCAGGCGCAGTAGCAACGTCTTCGTTGCGGAACGCTTAGCGGAGGGGGCAGCGCGGTCTAATATCTGCCTGTCATTGGCTTCGCCGATACCGAGGCGCTGCCGCGGTTGCAGAAGGCAGCAAAACTCGCTTTCCTCCCACCTATGCACCGCTGTGCTCGGCGAAAAAATCGTAGTGTCACTCTGCGGTTGCGTGTGTGGTTTGTGTTGGCATTTTGGAAGCTGCCGGAATTGTAAATGCGCGTTCTAGTTCTGAGTGCCAGACGGCGATTAAATATGCCAACTCCACTCGTGAAACAGGAAACCCTGCTGTTGATGAAGTACAATGAAGTCTCTTCCGAACTTGAGTTCACACCGCTGACTTACATGGCTGGCTACTTGGCCCTCGATTGTGAACAAAAGGTGACCATTTTTATTTGTAGAAATTGTTGTAATTTTAAAGTAATTAGCTGAAACATTCAACCTAGCAAAGCAATAAGAATTTCTCAGTGAAAGCAAGGAAGGCTAATGTGTAGAGCCCGCTAAACTTTGCAGGTGACGTGTCCTGAATGCAAGCGCAACTTAATGGAAATGCATCACATGACGGAGCATATCAGTCCATGTTTAGCCTTGACCAAGGAGGACTCAGCTATCCACGACCTGAAGCTGTCTGGCTGTGCAAGCTCGTCTGCACCTTTGTCGAGAGGGCTCTACAGTCGGCAGAGATTCGTGGTTGTGGAAGGATTTGCAAGGTCCTCTCGAGCGCTGTGGTTCCACACCTTATGGACTCCCCGCTGATGTGGTAAGTTAACTGTCGAGACCCCTACCACAGCGAAGAGCTCCCTGCGAGCTCTTTCTCAGAAAACTCCTCAGACATTTTTTTGGCAAACTGGGCTGGTGACCTAAACAGCCCACTAGAGAATATATTGAGGCTTTCGCGAAAGCCTTTTTCCCGAAAGGTACTCCGCTTGTCAACTAAATGACTCCCTTGGTCTGTTTTTTTGTGAACAATGAAGTTTATAATGCTGAAGTTATGCACGCGGAATCCGATTTTATATTGTCCTTCACAGATGAATAAATGGCACAGCTCGCGCGTGCTCGAGTGTCGGTTAAAACCGGAAATCACACGGCCTAGCGATATCCAACTATAACTCCTATATTAAAGTGGTAATAGAAACGGGGCAACACTTACGGGAACAAGAAAACGACAATTCGCTCATACTGCCAGCAGAATGCAGCTTTAACGCGCAGCCTGCAGCTGAGTGAGATTTTCGCAGAAAGAATCATGTAATTTTATTCTACACAGATTTGTCACATCATTCATGCAATCTGGCACTCGTTTCAAATGAGACTTGCGGCTTCACGAAAAAAAAATGTAAATAGCCACACTGGGCCGGGCCGGGCGTACTGCTCCTCTCTCACTATATTTCGTCTTACCTTAGCATGGACTAACCGCGAACGCTGTGCTAGCGCGAGCGGCTAGCCTTTACTGCCTTGACTGGAGCACTCGCTGCACGAGCCCTCATGCAGCCGCCGAGACTTCCTTCGAAGCAACTATCTCGCGCTTTTAGCACGCGCGGCTAACAAGTACATACTAACGTGAAACGAAGTATAGAGTTCCTCGATATGCTCCCCCGAAAGGAACTCTATCTTTCACCGATAACGAGCGCCACGGCTGGCGCCTGCGGGGTAAAGTAGAACCATCGCTCTCACCGGCGGAGTGAGGCATACGGCGGGCCGCTCCCAAGGGGAGTCCTAATCGAGTGGCCGTGGATCTGCGGTCGCGCTCTTCCAACAAAACAACGCGATCTCTCTCTCTCTCTCTCTCTCTCGTTTAAACCTTTTATGACGAGGCTTCACCAATATTGCAACGTGCCCCCTCCTAGTACTTTTAACCTCCTTGGTCCCGTAGCTCTCAACATTTGAGCAGCGCCCCAGGCGAGCAAAATAGAATATTCGGCTCGCGTTTCGAACGTGCGTCATTACGCTTCCCAACTACAGCTTTTTTATATTCCGTTTCGTTTTAAATGCCAGCTTAGATGAGGCTACTATACTCGTTTTCAGGGGCACTCAAGTGCTTTTTGGAGAAGCTTGTTTTTGGAAGCATATTGTTTGTTGCGCTTCAGTCAATAAAAATGACCAGTTCTAAATGGCAAGGCGCCCTAGTAAACTCACAGCAATAGAAATACACAGGCATTATATCCTCTTGCGGGGTCCATCCCGTGTTTCCACCACCTCCATAGAATTCGACCAATAGAAATAGCGAACTGCGAAAAGATTGCTAAAGCTATTATTATTGCTCTTTTTAGGCACATGCACATTATATTTTGACAACAACGTCAAATCTTTGGCTGTAGGTGACGTAATACAGCCGTTATTGTTTGAAAAAGAGCGAACTACGTTTTCTCCTCGCCTTGTTACGCGGGAGTGATGTGCCCACGCGGCGACGCGGCTCCGTCGTGGAAAGCGCGTGGCTCGCAGCTTATCTCGCCGCGAGAACGATAAGGAAGAGGATCTTCTTCCCGAGGCTCCCACTTCCCGTTCTCAAAGCAAGGTTCACCGAATCGATCGACATCCACGTGTTGAAACGTTTATTCGTCTTCGCTTCCGTGTGATGCCGAACGTTTGTGTGGTAAAGTTGTGCCCGAATCGAAAGGTAAAAAATATTCGAAAAGGTCTCCGGTTTTTCGCTCTGCCGGAGAAGGATCCACGAAGGCACGAATGGTTACGTGTCGCCGGGCGAGATGACGACACCGAGAACTTGAACCGGACTCCCCGTTTCTGTGCCGAGCATTTCGAGACGTCTGCATTTTCCAGCGGTGACTGCAAACGCCTTCGATGCACAGCTCTGCCGATACTTCTGCTTCCCGTCGCCGGCAGGACCGAGGAGCCCCCGAAAAAGCGCCAGAGAGTCCTGGTGAGTGTCTTGTCAAAGATTCATGAGCCTTGCATTGTGCAGCAGTCCGCTTGGCATATACCGGGAGTTTCCGATGAAAAATATAATCGCATCTTTCGACCTGGGTAAGTAAACTATGCATCCCATAAAGCTGGAACTCCATGAGAATGTGACGCTAGCGGTTAGGACAGAACGCGGAAGGTTGCAAACACGACGTTACCCGAATCAGAAAATAATTCGAAATAAAGTTCTTTATGGGCCGATGTTAGCCCTAAGTCTAACGTCTTCAAAACAATAGATGCCATTTTGCGCGCCTGTAGAAGAAAGAAGACGATTTTGTATTTCTTGCAGACAAGTGTCCCTTATTGATATAAATCCCACAAGCGTCCATAATGTTATATATTGTTTTGAAGATATTACGCTTAGGTGGATGTCGGCTCACAAAGAAATTTTTGTTTCCAAATTGTCTTCTGATTCAGGTAACGTAGGTTTCTCAATCTTTCGCACTCTATCCTAATCGCCAGCGTCGCATCAGGGAGTTCGAGCTTTCTGCGGTGCGTGGTTTATTTAACCAAACCACCCCCCCCCCCCCCCAACCCCAACCCCCCTCCCCCCCCCCCCAAAAAAAAAGAAAAAAACGTTATTTTTTTTTTTTTTTGGGGGGGGGGGGGGGCGTGGGGAAGTTTTTTTTCTGTGCGTTCGGAAGTGAGGATGTTGGGAAGACGAGAAAACCGTGCTTTTCCGCTCGCGTAAATTAACTACGGATCGTAAAAAGCTGAATACCGCTGAGAATGTGACGCTATACTCCGTTTCACCTTATGTTGTACCGCAGCAAAGGCTAGAAGCGCGAGCTCACAGGGTTGGCAGCTGCCCTTAGTGCACGAGAGCTTGTGCCACCAAGATGTTCCCTAGAGCAAGGAGCTCGTGCTTGTAGCCTTTCCTGCGGTACAACACAAGGTGAAACAGAGTATAGTGGTGGTCACAGAATTCTAAAGTTTGAAAACATACTGCTATCTGGATGAAAAAAAAATTAAAATACTGAATTTATCTACGAGCTGCTGTCCACCAAAGCCTAATTATTTCAAGATTCTTCTCCTGCCCTTTTTATTATAAAAGTTCCTATCCTTTATCACAGTCTTGGGTTATAACCCCAGCACAGGGGTTATGTGTCCTTTTTAATTTGTTATAAGGAGTACTGCAACTGACTGCGGCTTGCACATATATCTCTATCACAATGCGTATGTTCAGGCTTATCAATGCAGTTTTGGCGCAAGTACAAATATCTAAGGGGGGACTTCTACCAGGCTGCGATTTATATACAAACATTTTTGTAAAACCATTCAATGATGCGGGGTGGGCTGCTTATAGGCCAAAATGTACACTGCTTCTTGGTGGCACATTTCATCTTCACTGAAATATCACCATCCTGCAGGACACGACTTGCAATCTTGCATTACAACGAAAACTTGGACCGCTGCCAAGCTGTGACGCAACAGGGCGATCCATGTTTCACGGTGACCACATCAAAGGCACGGAAGGGACTCGCCACAGCACGTGAAAAGAAAACGGATCCAACTTATGGTAAGTGTGGCTCCTAATCCAGGCAGAAGCTTTGCTCAGTGCATGTTGGAATGTTATCATGCATATGCTTCAATTTCAGAGTACGTTGGAAAGCTAGTCCGGGAGGTGATGGCCAGCAACGAGCAGTGCACGTCCCTTGATGAGGCAGCAATAGCCAAGAAACGCATCTTTCCGGCACCCATGAATGCCGCCTTTACGAGGCCTTCCAAAAGGGAACTCGTGGAGGCAAAGAGGTCCCGGTTCGGCCAGGTTACCCCGTGAGGGACCTCCTTAAATCCCTCCTGTCACCCGTGCACTCGATGGTAAGTTTCCAAGGCCCCTTCACCTGCCAGGTGAAGCCAAGTTCCAGGCTGAGACAACACGTTTCCTTTTGGAGGACACCTGCCTCGGCCAAGCGGGCGTTAGGAGGCATGGTTAACACATCGAAGGCACGGAAGGGACATGCCACAGCACGAGAAAAGAAAACGGATCCAACGTATGGTAAGTGTGGCTCCAAATCCACGCTGAACCTTTGCTCCGTGCAATTTGGAATGTTACAATGCATATGCTTCAATTTCAGAGTACGTTGGAAAGCTAGTCCAGGAGGCGATGGCCAGCAACGAGCAGTGCACGTCCCTCGATGAGGCAGCAATAGCCAAGAAGCGCATCTTTCCGGCACCCATGAATGCCGCCTTTACAAGGCCTTCCAAAAGGGAGCTCGTGGAGGCAAAGAGGTCCCGGTTCGGCCAGGTTACCCCGTGAGGGACCTCCTCAAATCCCTCCTGTCACCCGTGCACTCGATGGTAAGTTTCCAACGCCCCTTCACCCGCCAGGTGAAGCCAAGTTCCAGGCTGAGACAACACGTTTCCTTTTGCAGGACACCTGCCTCGGCCAAGCGAACACGCACGGAAGGGGGGATCTTGCAGACCCGCTCCTTATCCTGTTACGAGAGCCCGACCTGCAGTAATGAGAACGTCAGTTGTAACTGCAGTAATTTGTCGAAGATGATGAGATCCATTGTGATAATGAAGTTTCGATTCCAGGATCATCGACCAGCCGATAAAGCAACACGAAGGCTCAAGTTCTGGGAGCTGCCATGTAGTCAGATGTGCCAAACCTGCCAGGGGAACTTTGATACCGTGAACCATAACAGAAAAAGCCAGTGCTGCAGCTTTTTCTTTATTATGTACTATTTGCAAATAGGTTAAAACAGTGCAGATCATCGTGACCCTGATAATTTTGCCCTACATGGCACTAATTACTGCAGTGTTTCATCAATAACACAAAAGAAGTAGTGACCAGTAAACTCTTGCAATTTTATGCAGCTCTCTACAAGGGATCCTAGTCTAAATTCACAAGCTTAGTATGCTGTCAATGTTTTCCTAATTGCGGTACTGAAACCCCAAGCACTATAAGCAATATGGCTCACAAATTCGTCTGCTCTTTGCTGCGTTTGATCACTTCCTGCATGCGACCATAGGCTTTTGTACTCTCCCATTGGCGGCATGGGCTTGGCTGCTTCATTGTTGCGCGTTCTTTGTGCTATCTTTTTGTCGCCGTTTATTGGTCTGACCCTTGTATTCTAATGCACCAGAACAAGTTTAGAAACACTCACTTTCATCACATTTTTCCATGTCCCCCAAACGTAATACAGTATTGACTTTTCTTTTCATGTGCTCCCACGCTGACATCCTGAAGAGGCTGCGCCTTGGCAAAGCAGCTCTCCCGTTAGTTTCTAATAAATGGGGTTTTCATCCAGGAGGTAGACTGGAACTGTAAAAATTAAATTTGGGCAACTGTGCATGACAGCACAAGGACACCTAACCTCAACACCATTCATACTTGGAAAGGGAAAAACAGTCTCCAGTCTACACCACGGTTCCCCCCCCCCCCCAATCTGCAACACTGTCTCCTTTCAATCACTGACTTGTTTACAAAGCAACCTATTATATTGACACACCTTGCTAATTGATGCTCTGGCTTGTTTTATCACGACCTTTTGCATGATTATCCAAGCTTCAAGGGGCATGCTGAAAGTGCAGTTACACACAGTGGCATCTGCAACAGTTGCAAACACCAACACATGCACACTCAACACTTGGCTACATCCCCACCTCTCCCCTTTGTGTGTTAGCAAAAGATCCAATTTTAGCTGAAAAGAATGTCAAGTAAAGATGCCTTTTTACTGGGTAACTTGTATGTGCATTGCAGGAATAAGAGCAAGAATTCCTAATTAGTGTTCGAGTCTTCCTAGCCAATTTGGCTCCGAGAACACAGCACCTGGCTAGGCTTTACATGAAAACAATCTGTCCATGCTCGTGTTCTCCAGTCTTTCCCTTCGTCTGTATCTAGTGGCGTTGTTCCAAAAATAATGTGTTATTCACAAAATCCGTCAAGTCTGTTAAAAACAATTATCTTGAAAAAACGTGCTTTTTCTCAAAGGTTATGGGAAACTCTCAAAGTGCCTTGGATTCGCCTCAATGGCTCGTAGCATCCACAGCAGTCGGTTGTTAGGTGACACGGAGTATAGCAGTAAGTGTTCAAAGGAGCCAAGAAGATGGCAGCCAATGAAAACTCCCAATGTCCTCGCTGAAACATGAAAATCGATACTGACATTGAACTGGACAAAAATAAGTTGTCACCTGGTTCTAACGCCTAACACTACATTTGGGCGAAGAACGACTGCTGGACAATGCATTGTTTAGCGCTTTTATTTTTTTAAAGGGAGGGGTACCGAAACCCGGAGTAGGTGTCGCTGGCAAAGTGACCTCTAATTGCCTTGACCATGCAGGAGGGCAGTGGTCGCCTGTTCTTCTGTCCAAGTCTTCGCCACAGCCAAAGCACACACTGCCTATAGGCAGCGAACCGGAAGCGCCTGAAACAATGTCCACATTTATTGAATGTAAGGAACACCCGCCAGCCATACACCTGAGGCAATGACCAGACTAATCAGATGTAATAAGCAATATTCGCTACTCTGAAATCTACACCTCTCTTGTGATTGTTTCCCCGGGAAAACCATCATATATTATGGTTCTCTTTTATGTTTTCTTTCGCTGTGCATGTGATGTATTTGCAAACAAACAAATGATCGGCACAACTAACTATACACCAACTCATGTTTATAAACAAACTGGAGCGCCCCTAGCAGACGCCACCGGCGCCGCGCATGCGCAATGGAGTGTGGGCAAGAAGCTCGCCTTTGCTCATAAACAAACCATTGAAATGCGATGTTGCCGGCGTCTGTGTGACTCCCCTTGTATTTTTTTACGTTTGAATAGTTGACTACGTTTTCCTTGCAATGTCTGACTACTTGAGCAGCCTCAAGAACCGACGAGAGACAGTAGTCCAACTCTGACTCCATGTCAGTCTATAAAGCCACGTAACATCTATTCTCCCGGCAGCCAGAAGAATAATTTTCCCAAAATTCAACCGTCAGTTGACTCCCATTGGACCATTGACTGTCGCCAAGGGAAAGCGGAGGCGAAGAGGGGGGGTTTAACACTGGCCCGAGGGATACACGCGCGATGAAGTGTCCCAACAGCGTGCAATTCGCGTAACGAGTGTCGATGAAACGTCAGCGTCGACAATACGTGTCCAGGAAAAGTTGTCCATGAAACGTGTTTCCATGAGATGTTGGAAGAACAAGAAAATCAGCATTCTACCGGCAGTTGTATGATTTCAGACAACCAATGGGAGGCGATCGTCGGTAGAATTTCGAAAAATGGTTCTCCCAGCTGCCGGGAGTATAGACGCTGTCATAAAGCTACCCGTCCTTATCCTTGGCCCGCGGCTTGGGAGGCATGGGCATGGAACCGAAAACGCACGGCAAACAAGAAAAAAGCAGACACGCAAAGCGAAAAACATTCAAAAGCAGTTGAACGCTAATGATGATTTCTATTCAAAGCTATCACGCCGCTTCAATGCGTGCGCAAGAAAAACGGGGGCCGAGGCAGAACAGCAAGTTTCGCGACCGGTAACACGAAGTTGTACTCACTCGTTCGAGGTTGCCCCCATGTTTCTTTCACCATAGTGGCGCATGTTCAACAAGGCCAGCTGTAGCACACCCGGATCGAGGCACAGCCCCTCGAAATCCGGGTGGCTTGTCACGCAGCTCTGCCGGCCCTGCTGCTTGCGAACGGCGGCCGGGTAGTCACGGCAGCAGACACACTCTGCGACGGTTTCCATCGGCACGCAGCAACTGCATTGGCACCTTAAAACAGAAAACCAGCATCAGCTATACATATGAGAGGTATAATAAACAGCTCATCACCTACCAGTTGGTGTTCCCAAGCCGCTGGGTTGCGTCGTCGGTTTCGTCGTCTTCCTCCGGTGTGGACATTGAGCATCGCGAACTGTCGTCCGAGTCCGTCGCGTTCGAGGCATCGGCGTCGCGCGTAGGAGTGGCGTCGTAAGAGACTGAGCTGATATCTGCCGTCCGCCGAAGAATTTCCACCTCCAACGGTGTTAGATTTGGCAGGTCCATCTCCGCACGACGCAAGACCCGAAGTAAACAAAATGAGTCCCAACGAGAATCCATCAAATACGCGCACATTCGGAAGATCACTCCGCCGGTTCGAAGGATCAATCCGCCGGGAAGCCGTCACTCGTGATTAAATGGCGCACGCCCTTCCCTGCTGCCTTCCCGGCTCTGTGCCTTCCCGTCCGACAGCGCCCCTGACGGCGTGCGCCTAGGCGCAGAACAGCGATCTTTGATTGGATTTTTAATAGGGAAATCGGCCGCCCTTGAAGGTAATTTTGGGATTTCTAGGATGCTTAGAGCCCGCAGATTGAGTTATGACAATAAATAGACGTTCTCAGAATCGACTTGAGTGCCCCTTACCGAAGTAAAACAAGTCCGGCTGGTGGCGGAGTGTTCTGGGTTTCCACCAATGAAATGCCGCGATATCGCGTAGACTTCACCATTCTCCGTCGGGAGGTGGTGACATCTACAATTAGAGACCGAAACCAAAACGTATTTAGCACTGCAGCATCCTCTAGTGGCAAAAAGCTAGAACATACCTCGTTAAACAGCGTTTGTTTCAGATTAACATGCTTATGCTCTGCACAATTTTGCATCGCTTCTTTGAACTGTCTTCAATAAACATATCTTTGTATATCTAACATTGTTTATACCGTCGGCTTTCTAAAAACACCATGAGAAAAAAAAATCAATGTGTGCCAGTTTTCGCGTATTTACAGTTTTTAACACCAACCATGGAGCGCTAAAGCAAAAAGATCAGCTGAGATTATCGACATCGCCGCAAACTTGATGAACTGGGATTGATCAGATCTGCTACCAGCCACAAACCTATGTTTGCATAGTTTATTCTGTCCTAATATGCCTTTGTTTACGTTATTGCGTTGACGTTCATGTGTATATATTGAGTGGGCAGTGGGTTTCCTTGTGTGTCGTGGTGATTTTCAATTTTTATTCTTTAATTCTGTTTTCTTAAGTTCCGTGGTGTGGGGATGGTGGTACAAATCCTGATTATGAGCAGAAACAGCGTGGTCGATGTGAGATACGTTCTTCCAGGATTCCATCAAAGCTTCTGCTTTTTGCCCGAGTGGCCCTGTGTGAGGATGGCGATAAGAATCCCGATTATAATCTGAAACAGCACGGTGAATGAGAGACACGTTTATTGCCAGAGCGACCCCAAGGCATGTGGATGGCAGTTTGTGAGTTTACTTTCCCACAAACCGCCTGGGGAACTGATCACTGCAGTAACGGAGCTATCTCATTCTCAATGAAAGACTGGGCTGAACATGATGTTTAGACCTCAAAATGAGGCGTAAGCGACACTGAATTCGCATGAGGTGAGCAAGTGAAATGTTACCGGGTTAAAGGTTCCAGAAGGAACCTTTAACCCGGTCGTCAGTCCAGACATGAAGGCTTGCCTTGCTGACTTTATGGTGCTGTCGGTCCACAGCTTGTCAACTGTAAGGCCGGCGTTCACCCAAGTCCCACCTTGCGGTTCTGGGCTCTGTGCTTTCCGATTGCCCTCAAATACCGCCGCCTGGGGGGGCTATGTTGCGCTTTTTGCACTCCCAGGAGACTAGGGAGAGGGAAGTGACGTCAACAACGCAGCAAATGCAGATTGGATGTTGATTTTGTTTTCTTCTGTCAACATCCAATCTGCATTTGCTCTAGTCGTTGACGTCACTTCCGTCTTCCAATCTCCTGGGAGTGCAAAAAGCGCAACATAGCACCACTGCACTCGACGATGTCTTCTCTCTCAATTAGCCCATGTCCAAAAAACCCATGTCCTTCAGCAGGCGATACAGGGTAGACGCGGAACAGGACGGCAGCAGGTTGTTTTCTTGGAGACGAGCGGCGATTTTCTTCAACGTTGGAATCTCCCCCCTACGGAACAAATTGTGCAGGCAGCTTCTCACGGGCGTCAAAGTGCACGCGTCGT